ATAAATTATACATATGTAAATTAATATAAAATAGTAAAAATGAAGGGATGTTTTGATTTCACTGAATCTAGCTATAAATATAAGACTAATGATGTAAAAAAATAAATAAGAAAAATAATAGATAAGATAATAAATTAAAATATATATACAACAAGAAACTTGGGACAAATCAATGTAGGCAAACTCAAAAGTCTGTAGTACATTCACGTGCAAAGTATGCGAAAATTAACATTCTTGCGTCAACAGTTGAACGGACTGTATCAAAATTCCAGGCTCACCGTCCGCCTTCTTCGTCGGATAAAGCTTCTGAGCTTTGCGAATGAACTTTTCGGCCTCCTCGTACTTTCTTTCCCGTATAAATCGCTCCGCGAGTTCCATGCATCGCTCCGCTTCGTCCTTGTTGCTGTCCATCTTTGCTGTTCGTCGCTCCAAGGTGTCACGAGTCACCAAAATTCAAGCGTGCTCGCCGTGGTCACAGTGACAGAGCAGAATAATAAATAAATCGCAAGGTATGAACCTTCAGGCCTGACACTCCATCATAATAATTCAGTATTAATTTAGTTACGTCACGAGCATCGTCACAACTGAGCGGTTGGATGCAGACGAGATGAGATACGGGATGAGGATAGTCGCCATTAAGGATTAATCCATTGCTTGCTAATAAAATTCCTTGTTTCCGCGAACGAGCCAACTATATGTACGCCGAGAAAGAATTTCGAAGCGATTTGCAGAATAATCAATCTCCAGAAACTCGAATGTTCCGTGAGCAATCGACTCTTCTAAATCAGAATGTCGTACAATCACTCTTGTCAGTACTTGTTGAACGCGGATTGGCTATCGAGCGGGTTATCATCGATGGCCACGGGTCTGTTCGTTTTATCTGCACCTCTGCACTTATATGTTTCGCTCGTTTTCCTTTGAAAGAGTATAAACAAATCATTTTAAAGCCTTGTGTCCACGATGCTAGAAATCGGTCCGAGACCTCGGATGAAGAAAGAATTGACCAATCGC